TGCTTTTTCATGAGGAGCACTTGCGTAGAGCATCTCTTAGCAACACACAAATCAGCTTTGACACCTGATTCATCTTTAATGTTCAGGTTCACATCAAGTCTTCCCAGTGATGGGACAGATGGAGTCTTTTAAACCAAGCAAGTGAAAGGTGTCACTTTGTGATTTTTCCATCTTTAGGTTGGCAGCAGCCTCAGAGTTTTCCTTTGGTAACATTTTGGAACTGGAATTTTTTTCAGTGTGGCCTCTTTGGTCCTCCAACTCCTCGGTTTCCATTTCCACTTCATGTTTTTCATCCCCAAAGACTTTGTAATGTTGGGATCAACTTTGAGATCAAATCTAAACTCCTGGGGCACCTGGCTGGCTCAGTCAGTTAAGCGACCAATTCTTGATTTTGGCTCAGGTCATGATCTCATGGTCGTAGATCAAGCCCTGTGTTGGGCTCCACACTGATTGTGTGGCCTACTTGGTACTTTCCCTCCCTCTCTCTTTGTCCCTCCCCTGCTCATGCTCTCTTTCTCTCTCTCTTTCTCTCAAAATAAATAAGTCTTAACACATAAAAAAATCTAAATTCCTCAGAGTGGCGTTCAGCGCCCGTCACAAACTGCTTGCTGCTTACTTCTGTCATATCCTCTGCTTCAGCCAAATCAAACAGCCCAGTTATCCAAACATGCTGGGTTCTTTGATATCACTATTTCTTCAAGCCCCTATTGTGTTTCTTTGCTCGGGAAAACTCTTTACTGGCTAAGTTCTGCTAATCTTTCTAGATACTTCTGAATTCTCAGGGATCTTCTTTCTGATTCTTTCAGATTGAGTTAAGGGCATGTCTTGGTCATAGAGCTTTAAAATTGGATTTCAGTTGTTTGCTTTTCTTGTACTTAACTGGGAACTTTTGAGGGACAGGAATTCTGTGTTTCATCTGTATATCTCTCTCCTTTCTGGATGTTTCATTTATCTGAATTTTTCTCTGTCTGTGGCAAAGCTGAATCTTCTCTCCCTGTGAAATAGTAGTTCTTTAATACTGAGCGTTTTGGCCAGAGGCTCAAGGTACTCATTTATGAATTTAACAGTTACTTTTTTGAATTGTTCATACCGTGTCAAGGACGATGCTGTTTATTACTATTGGAAGGATATGAGAGTCAACCATCAGATAAAGAGTTATACTAGATGTAGCATTAAGTGGAAAAAATCTGGAGGAATAAAAAAATTAAAGCAAGGATTTCTGAAAATGCAAGGTAGCACAGAGGCTATACCATGGTTTTATGAAGGTTATCACAAAGGAAGCAAAACTTAAAAGTATTTTTTGAATATGTATTTTGGCAGTTGGTATAGAAACGTTGAATGTAACTCAGTGATTATGGTAACCTCATCAATTTATATATCTTTTTAAAAAAGTTTATTTATTTTGAGAGAGAGAGGGAAAGAGAGGAAGAGAGAGAATCCCAAGCAGTCTCCACACTCAGCACAGAGCCCGATGTGGGGGTCCATCTCACGAACTGTGAGATCATGACCTGAGTCAGAATCAAGAGTTGGGACGCTCAACTGACTGAGCCACCCAGGTGCCCCTAAGTTTATATATCTTAAGCTCAGAAAATAGCCCTCAGTGGTTTGCTTCCACAAAGTTCCTTCTGCCGTAATAGAAGGCAGATACTGCCACACTCCCTAGGAACTGGTGTGTGTAGACTTCTGGAGTTTTTATTTTATTCATATATTTAAACCTTCACCTCGGTTTATTCCTTCATATTCATATATTTAAACCTTCACCTCGGTAAATTAAATTGAACAAAATTTAATTTGTTTAAAAACATGCTGGAAATTTCTTAAGATAATTTAATGAATTCCAATTTTAGAACAATGTTAGAAATGCTAAGTTAGTCTTATATATGGACAACATATTTTATATGTAGAGCCTCTATACTGTCTCAGAAATAGGATCTAAAGGTGTTCCTTTTTCCTTTTGCTTTATTTGGAAAAGAGCAAAAATTAAAAGAAAAAAAAAACCACTTCTTATTTGAAAGTGGGGTAGGATATTATATGTAAAAAAAAGCCTCACAGCCATCCAGTCTTATCCTAGGCTGTTAACGTTTGGGCACTTACTAAATTGACTTCTTTCTAAAGTTATTTATAAATACTGTTGTTAAAACAATCTAGTGATGTGCTGTCTGCTATCTTTTATGATAACAACTTGAAAGGTTCCTTTCTGTACTAACTCTAGCTTTGGTCTGCTTTGATCTGTTTATTTATCACTTAATGTTTTATTTTCAAAAGCATCTGAGGCACATTGTTTTATTTTTTTTTTTAATTTTTTTTTTCAACGTTTATTTATTTTTGGGACAGAGAGAGACAGAGCATGAACGGGGGAGGGGCAGAGAGAGAGGGAGACACAGAATCGGAAACAGGCTCCAGACTCTGAGCCATCAGCCCAGAGCCCGACGCGGGGCTCGAACTCACGGACCGCGAGATCGTGACCTGGCTGAAGTCGGACGTCTAACCGACTGCGCCACCCAGGCGCCCCTGAGGCACATTGTTTTAAAAAAGTCAAACAGTGGGTGCCTGGGTGGCTCAGTCATTTAAGCTCCTAACTTCAGCTCAGGTCATGATCTCATGGTTGGTGAGTTTGAGCCCCGCATCAGGCTCTCTACTGTCAGTGCAGTGCCCGCTTCAGATCCTCTGTCTCCCTCTCTCTCTGCCCCTCTCCCACCCTCATAAATGAATAAACATTAAAAAAAAAAAAAAGTCAAACAGTATAGACATGCAATAAAAAGTGAAAGTTTCCTTTCATTCTTGGGAGTAACCAGTCTGTGTTTTCCTTTATATTCTTCCAGATAACTGAAGTTTGGGTTAAATTAGAACTTTTTTTTAATACAAAAAAAATGGGATCACACTTTCCACACTCTGTCACTTATATTTTCATTTACTAATGCTTTATTTCATAGCTGCTCTTCTCTATCACCACATGTAGGTCCATCCCAGGATTTCTACTGGCTGTATAATATTTCATGGAATGGATTTACTATGGTTTAATAAGCCAGTTGTCCATTAGGTATCTCCAGTTTTCTTTTTTATTACAAATAATGCTGCAGTAATCATTTTCTCATCTTGTATACAGGCATGTATCTCTATAGGGTGATACTTGGACGTGTATATGCTTGGTTGGAGGTATTGCACATGTAAAATTTTGCTGCAATTTAAAAGTTTATATTTTATTCAAGACTTAAACAGTATTTAACCATAAGCAAAAGTTCTGATTTGAAAGTCAACTCTTTTAAAAAGGAAAGGTGGATGGATTCCTTTCTGGAGGGCGCAATGAGATTACATAATTCAGGGAGGACTTTTTGTCATTGTTTTTCTTCTCATGTTTTAACCTGAATTTTATGTGGAATCTTTGAGAGAAAGTACTCCTTGGCCTTTCTGTTGCCTCAAAAAATAAATCTATGTTCTTATTGGTAGCATCTCCTTGATAATGCTGTTATTTCACTGGATGTTAATACTCGTTATGATGAACCATAATTTTAGCTTCATTCTATTCTGTACAATATGACATAGAATAGAATGGGGTAGCATCCGATGGGGTAACTTATCTTAAAAGAAATGTATGAAGTTGACTCTAATAATAAAATTTAAAACCGAGAGTATCCTTTTATATACATATTTGAAGTCCTTTTCTTGTAATCTTAAAAGCAGTTATAATTGTGCCTTATTGAATAAAAGAAAACTTACAGATGAAGCACATTTTCTTTTTCTTTTTTTCTTCATGTTTGTTTATTTTTGAGAAAGCGAGAGCACGTGAGTGGGGGGGGAGAGGCCAGAGAGATGGAGAATCCCAAGCCGGCTCCGTGCTGACAGTGTCGGGGTCCCTCCCGACATGGGGCCTGAACCCTTCAACTGCAGGATCGTGACTTGAGCCGAAACCAATAATTGGATGCTTAACTGACTGAGCCACTCAGGCGCCCCCACATTTTCTTTTTCTGAAAGGATAAGCTAATTGAGGCTACATACCTTACTTTTATGTGGGACGAGTAGGTTTCTGAAGTTCTTTCTGAAGTTCTTCCAGGGCCTTTCATGGAGCCACACACAATTAGGTATTTAGTACTCTTTTAGGCAATATCCCTGTTTAACTCAAGTTTCTTCACATACACCTTTGAGTCCACTTCACTCCAGCTGTTTTTATAGACATATCAAATTGCTATTTGAGAAATACCTTACAGATATTAGATTCATATTTAAAAAAATTTTTTGTGTGATTATTCATTTTTGAAAGACAGAGAGAGACAGAGCACAAGCAGGGGTGGGCAGAGAGAGAGGGGGACACAGAATCTGAAATAGGCTTCAGGCTCTGAGCTGTCAGCACAGAGCCCGATGTGGGGCTCGAACTCAAAAACCACGAGATCATGACCTGAACTGAAGTCGGATGCTCAACTGACTCAGCCACCCAGGCGACCCTAGATTCATATTTAAAAGGCAAATGGGCTCTGGGGCGCCTGGGTGGCGCAGTCGGTTAAGCGTCCGACTTCAACCAGGTCACGACCTCACAGTCCGTGAGTTCGAGCCCCGCGTCGGGCTCTGGGCTGATGGCTCAGAGCCTGGAGCCTGTTTCCGATTCTGTGTCTCCCTCTCTCTCTGCCCCTCCCCCGTTCATGCTCTGTCTCTCTCTGTCCCAAAAATAAATAAACGTTGAAAAAAAAAATTTTAAAAGGCAAATGGGCTCATAGTCTTTACTGCTGTGAAATGTATTATAAACATCTGAGAACCTTAATAGTCAATTCATATATGGTTATGTTATAGATATATATTGGAAGATAGGTATTTGTGTTTCATATAGAACTTTATTATTTATTCTGACGTACAGAAAATGACTTTTTAAAAAAATTCTAAGATTTCATAATCTTTCTAGTCTGACTTGTAAAGGCATATCTGCTAATCTTTTTATTTAGAAGATATACTTCCAAGGAGATGATAGTCATGTATTTTACAGATTATTTTGTTTTCTCTCTTTTTTACAGAAAACAAGCATCGTTATGGGTCCAAGGAGACATTTTCCGATCCAAACTGAAAAATAGACCATCCAATGAAGGGAGTATTAACAAAATTCTTTCTAGCTTGGATGATATGTCTATTGGTGGAAACTTATCTAAAACACAAAACGTGGAAAGATTTGGAGAGGTAAGTTTTCCTCTGGAAGATTTTCATGTCTCCTTAAGACTAATGTTCTGCATTTCTTTGTTTCCTAGCTGAACACATATAACATAGGAATATCTCCTTTCTGAGATGCTGAGAGTGCCAGTATTTTTAGGTGTAGTTATCCACTGATAAGAATCAGAGCAAAGAAAGCAGTTTTCCTTAAAAGTAAAAAAGCTGTAACTTAAGGAACACAATTGTAAAGGAGGGTACTCTGGTTTGGAGAGTATTTACAAAAAGGAAATAGAAAAACAAAGTTTCTATTTGGAGATGGAGATGGATATAAAGAGGAAAAAATAATGTGACAATTGAAAAAATAATATATACCACAAGTGGTTTTGTGAAAGGCTCAAATGCATTTTGGTTTTTAAAATTTATATTTTAAAAACATATTAAGGGGAATTTTTTTTTTTTTAATGGAGGCTCTACTGTTTCCGATTCTGTGTCTCCCTCTGTCTCTGCCCCTCACCCGTTTATGCTCTGTCTCTCTCTGTCCCAAAAATAAATCAATGTTGGAAAAAAAAATAAAAAATAAATGGAGGCTCTATATTATAAGCAAACCACTTTAAACTGGTAATATCCATGGTCTCATTTAATCTTTATAACTAACTGGTGAATTAGGCAGTATGATCTCCATTAAAAAGGGGGTTTTAAAATTTATTTGAGAGGGAGAGATAGAGAAAGAGAGAGAGAGGAGAGACAGTGGGGTGAGGGGCAGAGGGAAAGAGAGAGAGAATCCCAAGCAGACTCCATGTGGAGCCGGATGTGGGGCTCAATCCCACAATCCTGGGATCCTGACCTGAGCCAAAATCGAGTTGGACACTTAACTGACTGAGCCACCCAAGCACCCCTCTATTTTATAGTAAGGAAATTGAATGTCACCGAAGTTCTAACCTCTGTGATTCCATTCCACATCTATCTGATTCTGAATCTGTTTTTTCTGTTACACCCTGCTACCTAAAAATGGAAGTGACTTACAACAGGTAGGATCATGGGCATTTTTGGAGCTAGAAGCAACCTTGAAATCATTTGTTCCACTTCCCCTCTGGTGCGGATCAGAAACCAGGGCCCCACCAACTCTGTTGCTTGCTGAAGGTCACAGCATTAATAGTAGGACTACCTTGAGACTAGGAGTCTACCTCCTGGGTTAGCTTTTTCTACCACAATATGCCTGAGGTAAGCTAAGCGCTTGGTTTGTATTCATATTTTTATGTCCCTAAAGGAACAAAAAAAAGCCGTAGAAAATATTTAAGCCACAAGTGTGGATTTCCATCCTATTTGGATGTTTGACCCGGACAAGGGCCTTGAACAAAAGTCTGTGGTTCCGGCTTGGCCCTCAGGGAACCCCAAATGGAAGGAACACATCATAACTCTCTTAGGTCAACAAGTGGCATGCCAAACAGGTTTCTTTCACCAAGAAAGATACCCGGAGTGCTTGTGCTAGGGAGAGTGGGCTTTCTTCAAGGACACAGGATGGGGACTGCCGGAAGATCCAATTTTTCAGCCCCATGGTCTCTACTCCAGGACAGCCACTGATGAAGCGGCCAAGTTTACTGGTGTGAGTCATCTGTCCTGACAAAATGTCAGTCTCAGCCAAGGTCATGTTGATGTTCACAGCCTTTGTTAACTTTTTCTTGTCTCTTTGTAGTAGTCTGGCCTATTCAAAGCAAACAAAAAGGATCTGAACTGACATTTTAATGTGATACTATAGCTAAGCAAGAATACTTTTCTTGCTCTGGTCAGCATTTCCTTCTTAGGGTTTGTTCAAGTAAACAGGACTTGGAGTCATGACCTCTGAAAAGAGGCATATACAATTTATCCATCTATCTGAGAAACATATTTATCTTATGGGAATATAATGTTTCCTTTGTCATAATCTGTATTAAACTAACATCTGGTAGTTAGAACATTTTGTTCTCATACTTTTTTAGATCTCTTTTAGTCGAATTTAAGAATAATTAACATTTATTTCTCACTAGAAGATGAAAAATGAAATATGATTGAAATTTAAAATGTCAATTTTATTTATTTATTTATTTAATTAGGATTTATTGTCAAATTGGCTAACATACAGTGTGTACAGTGTGCTCTTGGTTTTTGGGGTAGATTCCCATGGTTCATCGCTTACATATAACACCCAGTGCTCATCCCAACAAGTGCCCTCCTCAGTGCCCAGCACTCATTGTGCCCTCTCCCTCACCCTCCCATCCACCCTCAGTTTGTTCTCTGTGTTTTATAGTCTCTTATGGTTTTCCTCCCTCTCGTTTGAAACTATTTTTTCCCCCTTCCCTTCCCCTGTAGTCTTCTGTTAAGTTTCTCAAGATCCACATAGGGTGAAAACATATGATGTCTGTCCTTCTCTGACCTACTAAGATAAGTCAGTTTTAAATATGAGCATGTGTTCAGGTATTGGGCAGTTTCTCTTCCTCTTCCTTATTCCCAGAACCCCCAATTTATTACCTTAACTCTAGCCATTCAGAAGTGTTACTATTTTTGAAATTAGAGTGCAGAAATGACAGAATTCAGAAATAACACTGAATGATGGTGCACTTAAGATCTCAGACAGTGCCATATATGCAGGTTTGGGGCCATGTTATAGTTAGGTGATGCCCTGTATAAATATTAAGCCCTTTTCTCTCTATGCTTACCTAGTGCCAGCTCCAAAACATTACAGGAATAGGGGGAGTTAGTTTCCTCGAAAGCGAATGTAAGAGAGTTAATGATATCTTCGTCATTCTCATGAATTCCAAGTGGGAAAATAAGTTGAGAATGTTGCAAGGATTTTTACGTGTTTCAAGCTCCTTACCAATGTTCAGGATAGAAGTCCATGAAAATTCTGGATTTATTCAGTTTGTGTGTAAAGGAAGTGCAAAAAGGGAGTATTCTTCTAGAGGTTGCTTTTTGTTTTTCCTTTTTAAAAGCAATATCAGATTGAAAATAGAGATGGTAAATTATATATATATATATTTACATATATATATATATTTATAGTTAATGTTTATTTATTTTTGAGAGAGAGAGGCAGAGACAGAGCATGGGTGAGGGAGGGGCAGAACAGAATCCGAAGCAGGTTCCAGGCTCTGAGCTGCCAGCACAGAGCCCGACGCAGGGCTTGAACCATGGACCTCGAGATCATGACCTGAGCCCAAGTCTGATGCTTAATCAGCTGAGCCACCCAGGTGCCCTGTGGGGCTGTTATTTAAACAGAAGTTCTCTGGCCTCAGAGTCTGTACTCAGCCACGCACCGTGAGGCCTTTCTCTGTATCATGCCGCCTCCCCATGATGTCCTACATGTGGCTTTAGTATATTGCATCAGCAATTTTTTTTAAATAAAAAAATTTTATTTAGTTTATTTTTTGAGAGAGAGACAGAGCAAGTGAGCAGGAGAGGGACAGAGAGAATCCTAAGAAGGCTCTGAGCTGTCAGCACAGAGCCTGACATGGGACTTGAACTCATGAACCATGAGATCCTGACCTGAGCTGAAGTCCAGAGTCAGACACTTAACCGACTGAGCCACCAGGCACCCATACATCAGTAACTTTGAACATAACCTTAGCCAGCCTGTCCTAATACATTTCTCCTGGAACTGTGATTGTTGTTAACTTTTCCTACTCCAGGGTGATAATCCAATATTAGCACACCAAACAGATGCTCTTGACTTCGAGACATTAATTAGGTATGAGTGCTGCTAATGTTCAGACAAGTTCACATAAATTGACAATCAGGTAAATAAGAATGTAGTGTTTTATTTAATTAATTAATTTATTTTTAAAGATTTGATTTTTAAGCAATCTCTACACCCAAGTGTGGGGCTGGAACCCACAACCTGAAATCAAGAGTTGAACACTCCACCAACTGAGCCATCCAGGCACCCTGAGAATGTAGTGTTTTAATGACATCAAGATACTGTAATTTATAAAGTCCTTTGCTCTTTTACATCAAATGCTCATGTTCAGGGTGCATCTTAGAAAAAAATCCATGAAGTCAAAAATTAAATCTTTAAGGCCCTACTTTCAAGCACTGTTCTGTCCACTCTTATTTTTAATGTTTATTTATTTGAGAGAGAGAGAGAGGGGGCACACACAAGCAGGGAAGGGCAGAGAGATGGGGGAACAGGATCTGAAGCAGGTTCTGTGCTGACAGCAGAGAGCCCGATGTGGGGTTCAAACTCACAAATTGTGAGATGGACGTGAGCCGAAGTCGTTTGCTTTTTTTTTTTTAATGCTTTTTAAATGTTTGTTTATTTTTGAGAGAGAGAGAGGCAGAGTGTGAGTGGGGGAGGGGCAGAATGAGAGGGAGACCCAGAATCCCAAGCAGGCTCCAGGCTCTTAGCTGTCAGCACAGAGCCCCACATGGCGCTCGAACTCACAAATCACAAGATCATGACCTGAGCCGAAGTCAACACTTAACCGACTGAGCCACCCAGGGACCCTGTTCTTTCCACTCTTAGGACCCCTAAGGCATTCTGGTTCCAATCTGAATGCCACTGGGATCCAGCAGAGGCTATTGGACAAGACAGTGCCAGTACACAGAGCCACGGGTTGGGGAGACTGCTCTGGCTGTGGAGTGGAAGGGGTGCCGGAGTCGGTGTGTGGCCGGGCATGAGAGGCTCAGGTGATGGGGGAGGGGGGTCCCGGGTGGTAAAGGTCTCAACCAGTGACAGCAAGGAAGGAGAGAAGACAGATTTGGGGGCTCTGATAAATCCAAACTTTCTATTGATCAGAAGCAACTTAATTTGACGATGCCATCTTTGTCTTTCTCTAGCTTTTACATCTCACAGGTTCAACATCTGAGAGCTGAAAGAATTTTGTAGATGACCCAGCCACCTTTCCTAGCCAAATCACTTAAACCTGCTAAAAATCCATTATCATCTTTCTCTTCCAATCCTTTCACCTCTATTTTTTACTCATTTATATTTCAAACTCTCCCTTTATATCATTTTTTATATTCTTCTGTCTTTTTTTCCCTAGTGTGCTATATTTTAT